TTTTATACCCTAATCCTTCATCTGTTTTATGTCACCAGTATCTATTTTAGCCTCTGGTTTATCATTTAAATTTGTATATGATGTGTTATTAATTTTTATGGAAACACATTTATCAGCTTTTTCCTTTATGGCTTATGTTTGTAAGGCCTTAAAGAAAAGCCTTGCTGGCTCCCACTGCCATTGACAAATTCACTGTGTATTCTATCATTTCGATTTTTAAAGGCTTGAAATTGAGGTGTCAGTGGGAAATTCAAGTAGAATTACCTAAACAGCAGGTAATTATTTCAAATGGAGTAGCGTCAAAATCTATACTGGAAGTATAAACTGGGGTTCCTCAGACTGAAGAAAATGTTTGAAACTAGAGGCAGAAGACTGTCCAAAGAAAACATGTAAAATTAAAAAGAAATGGGTCAGGGGCACAGATCTGAGGAGCAGATATGTTAATAGACCTGGTTGAACAATATGATATTCAGGACATCTAGAAGGAGTGGCCCAAGGGGTAGGAGAAAACCTAGGGAATGGTGGATAAAAGGAACTAAGGAAGGCAAGCTTTAATGAGGCTTGAGTAGTCTCTGGTGTCTGTGATGGCATCCCTTGACCTAAACGGTCATAATTATTTATATCTTTTTTCAAGGAGCTAATAATTGTTCAGAGCAATTGAGTCTGACTTTTATATTCCTAGAACTGAAGGTTTTGTCTGCCCACAGTGGCATTCATCCATTCAAAATAATCTATAAACCTACCAATTAATAGTGAAGTCTCCTTTTCTTTTGAATCACGATATCAAAATAAATCTTAGACCCAAACATCTTGAAGACCTTTTTCCTCAGTTACACCAAGTTTGTGAGCTGGGCCCCTGGTCCTCTTTGGTTTTGGCTTGGAAAGATCAGGGTGGCATCTGTGAAAGCTCAACTATAAAAGAAACATGGGGATTTGCCTATAAAACCCAGCTGACTGCGGAGGTGTCTGCATGTGTCCACACATGCTCTCAACTCTGTAATGGAGCCTTTACTATCCAGGAGGTTTCATAATGGCCATTGTTCTTTTGACATTAGTTACTTTGTGGATTTACGATGCACCTTTTCTTGAACTGTCAATCTATAAACTGTCTGTAAAATCTTCTCCATGGAGTAAAGGAATGGAATTATTCATAAGATGGTTTCTACTTCAGCTCAATGGTGAAATTATTCACTTAGGGTATAATTAAGTCCTGGACTGGCTTGCATGTGGATAAAGATGGAAGGAAATAGTTGTGTCCCAATTTGTGTGCTTCCTGGTGTTTGACAAGCATCTGGTGTATTAATTCACAGATGGAGGAGAAATCAGGGTCCTTGTAAAGGGGTGAGAGATTCTTCCCCACCCACCTAAGGGGAGTTAGAGAATAACTAGCTGGAAAGGAAATAAACAAGCAGAGTTTAAAATGTTAAAAGTTAAAAATAGGATAACAATATGAAATCTGGTAGGTAAGGAGTAAAGCTAAAGCCTGAGAGAGAGAAGCAGCTAAAATAGAGGTCAGGTGGTTTGGCTCTGAGTAGCCACAGGGCATGTGTATATCAGGACAGGACTGACCACCGGCAGGTCAAGATTGGCACCTATGTATGGCAATCTTGACTGAGGCCATTGGTGGCAGGCCTCTTCAGCTCCAGACTGTCCTGCAGTGACTGTGTATGGGATGTGGCCTCATGACTTCATATCCAAGCTAACAAAATGGAAACACTTCAGTGTTGCAGACAAAGTAAAATTTATTGAGACAGACAGAAATGCACCTACTCAGGACTACAATTAAGCATTTGCTATTAACCAAAGAGTTGTGTTCACATTCCAGATAAGTGTACATGGAAAAGCATTCAGAATACTAGTTTTTCTACATCACTATTTCATCTACAATAGGGACAACAAACTGACACTCTGGATTTGATGGGCTCTCATTACAAGGCTACACACTGAACAGGGACAAACATCAGTGACTTTGAGAAAAAGGTATAAAAAGACCAAAACCACCCACTGTAGAAAGGGCTCTTGGATGTTACTGTACAGTGTGGTCAAGCTAAACCAAAACCAAATGGGAATGGCATCCTGGGGAGAATAGAGGGGCAGACCTGGACAGATCCATCATTTGCTGATATGGGTAAGGAAATGGGCATAAACAAAGAGAAGCTGGCATAAAACCTCAAATTCAGTAGTTAGGTATCCCCACGCCCAGAACATTTGTAAACAAAAAGACATTCATATGGCAGACAACCATGGTGAAAGAAAATCCTTGGATTTGACTTGGATGCCACAGTAATGGTAATAAGGAACCAGTTATAGGATAAGAAACTATTCACTAAAGAATTTCCAAAATTAAGTTAGGATTGAACTCAATACCTGTCTCAAACAAAGGATTGGATTATTACAAGACTATTTTCTCTCTTTAAAAAATTCAATATCTTATGCAAACTTGGTCACTGTAACTAAAGGGCCCCTTCCAAAAACAAGAAAACAAAAATTCTACTTAGAAGGATAAGGTAACTCAAAATTTAATCCAAAATAATACTAGTGGAAAGTACTCAAGATCTTTAAAGGCCTAATGCTGTTGTGCCAAAGTGAGGCATGAAAAGTGATGTTAATGTTGCTCCATTGATTTTAGGTTCCAGTCTTACAAGGGCTTTTTGTTTAGTATTTTAATGAATCAAAATATCTTCTTGGAAAAATATCTGAAAATGGCATCTCATTACTTTCCTGGGAATTGCCTATTGAGCACTCTTCTCCATCATTAAGTTAATGCTAAGGATCTTTAAGTGTCATCTTAATTTGACACTTGTCATAAGATAATTAGGCAAATTAAAATCAGTGGTTCACTTCGTTCCTAGAAGTTTCTCTAAGTGAAATCAATTTGTCGATTTTAATTTGTTCTCTTGTGCATTTTTCCAAGCTCAGAGGACACAGTAACAATATTTTTCTTTGATGATATAAACTGAGCTTTTTTAATATGTCTTGATTTTTATGTTCACTATTGTAATTTAGCAGCAATTAAGCACCTGTTTTCTAAATTATTTTCTCAGAGTTGTAACTGAGTGGGGAAAAATATGGAAATGGAAGTGATGGGGTTGAGATCCCAATACAGAGCTTGCCTGTGGTCTCCATATAGGGACAGTACATACATTGTCTATTAGGTCAAAGAAATCGGCAACACCAGGTATATTCATTTCCCATCTGAGACCAACCCTAGGGATAATGGCACTTTATCCAGCCTATGCAAGGAATGCTAATTTAAGGTGGGTTACAGCATACAAATGGTCAGTTTGGTGTGGGGGTTAGTCAGCTGCCACAGGGATCATGGTCTGGCTGAACGAATGAAATATATATATATATATTTTTTTTTTTTTTTCTTTGCCTAGTTGATGTGGTTGTCTTGTGGACTGGATAAAGGCAAGAAAGAGAGATGAGGAATATGTGGCCTCGAGAGCTGGGGTCTGGGTGGCTGACTGGGGCAACTGAGGAGGTACAAAACAAACAGGGTAAGAGTTTACAGACCAGTACTAAACTGAATGGGGCCACTGTGAAGACTACTCTTTGGTACTTGTATGAGAGAATTCTAAAGAATGTGGAGACGATGGCCCTACCGGATTTAGAACTAGACTTCAATAAAGAGTTTTGGGGAAAGAAATACAATGGTGAAAAGCTTTCTTCAGAAATGTCTCAAGACTTTTGTGTATGTAGAGAGGCTGGGGGGCTAGCTCTTAAAATTCCAAACCTAGCTTCTATATGCTACTCTGAAGTTCCTTCTAGGCCTCCGTTTTCTGAAAAATATGGGTGGTTTTAAAAAACTCTACACAGCTTTTGTACCCTTATCATGATTTGTGGGTGAAAAGGAGCCAAAATCAAAATATTGAGTTAAGAACCCTAAGTTGTATTCTAAGGAATACCATGGTTCTGTCTTCTCAGAGAACCGGGTGGGTGCATGCATGCCTTACAAAAAGCCCTTGAGTAGGTAGGGGAAGGGAGGACCCTGCACTGACAGGGCTGCTGCAGCCTGTGGGGCTTTGAGCTGAAATGAGAGCAATGGCTTGTGAAGCTGCCCAAGTGGGAGTCACATGGCTTCTGCAAGAAAAACGATTTAGGCAAATGATTTGGAGGCTTACCCAAAGCAAAGAAGCTTCCAGTAACTGCTAATGCATAGAGAAGAAACCTCCTCAGCCTGCAGGCTACAAGTGCCAACTGTTAGTACAAAATGGGACTTTCATACAAATTTCTTATTTCAGAAATTGTGTTCCAGGTCTGGACAAGCTGACAAATTGAAATTTTCAAAATTAATTTTTAATGGATAGCCAGACACTTTTTTGAAAAGTGTATGTGCAAAGCATGCACATACAGTCTCTTTTGTACATATGTACATACTTGTCATGTACAGAAAGAAGCATCCAAACATTGATTTTTCAGTAAGTGAATTCCCCCAAGGGACTGAATTAAGGCTGTTATTTGTAGGAAGCCAGATATAGGGCTATGAAAATTAATTTTTAATAATAAACACCAGGGGTGGTTGGGGCAGGAGGAAAAGGTACAGTGTGGTGTGTTTTCCACGACATCTACAGGACACAAGAAAAGCACTTAGACACTGTAAGGCTGGGAACCATGCTGTAATAACCACCAATGTGGGTAATCAGAAAGGGTCTTTGACATTTACGAGGGTGGGGGCTCCCTGCACTGTTGGATTCCACATAAATCACATGCTTGTTGCAAAACTCTCACAGGAAGGAGGGTCTATTTAATTAAACCAGCCATTCTCTTGTCCAAAAAATAGCAAATTAAAAAAAACCCCAAACAACACCCTTTCTCCCACACAACCATATGAAAATCAGAATACTCCGGGACAAGCAGTTGTCTTCCAAACCTTCAGTTGGGTACAGAGAGCAACAGTGGAGAAGAGACGTTGGTGCCTTGGAGTCTTAGATACCAATGCAGGAATAGGAAGTGACTTGCAAGTGTGTGCAAAATGTGTGTCCTCTTCCTTGTGGGCACTACCATATGTACCCAACCTCATCTTCTTTGTCATCATCCTCATCTTCGTCATCCTCTGTCACAGACCGAGTGTGAACCCTCAGCTTCCCCTCTTTGTCCTTTGGTCCCAGCTCCTGTTCATCTTCTAGGTCATCCAGCAGGACCACGGAGCCACCACTGCCAAAATCCCCTGAGGTTTCCTGCTCCTCTTCTGGCACAAGAGAAAAAAAGGCTGAAGGTCAGTTTCTGTTTCTACATCACAGCCTTTGTTGGGGCTTCCCTTTGCCTGTGACTTGACTTGCAAGGCAACTTGTGGGGCAAAACCATAGAATTTACTTTCTGAATCTGGGAGCATGCCTGCCTACCCATCTGGGGTCAGTCTCTGTGGTGAGAACTACAAACTGTATTTTGGCATAAACCCTAGAATGCTGGAGTGCCACTACCTTCTCAGGAGGTTTATAATCCCAAGTGAAAAGTGTCCTGTGCCTGCAGCAGTTATCCTAACTCTCAAAAACTCCCCTCTAACCTGTTGGTCTTGGTCATGTGAGTTCCTGCCACTTGCAAGGTTATGCTGTGCTATGTATGCCATGCTATGCATGAGCTCATGTAACTTAGGGTCCCCGTGTCTCCACTGTAAACTCATAGTAGAACAGAGCTACCTCTCAGTATCTGCCATGATCCTTACAAAGTGAGGACTGATGACTCTCCAGAGTCAGTGTGTGGCTGACGCAGAGGGCCTTACTCACCACAGCTCACGGCACCCTGTTTCCTGGAGCCAGCCAGCTCATTCCCGTATTTATCCACACACCAGCACTGCCCTGTGCTGCCGTGGCACTGCGTGGCTTTGTAATAGCCCTCTTCATTACACCGAGGTATGAATGCCCCTGGGGGAACAAGAGGTCAACTTTAATGAGAGAAGCACAGAGATACTCAGGGTTAATATTATTCAAGACAGGGAGGAGAGCTCACACATATTTGCTACAGGGCTGCCAGGAGAGAATGGGGTTAGTTGATTACTTCATCAAGACGATAGGGACCTGAATAGTTAGGAGCCCAAATGCACTGAACTGGAAGGATCTCAATTTTCAAACAGGCTCAATAATAGTTAATATGTGTTAAATATTCATGTATATGTGGGTTACTGAACAAAACCATGCACACATTCACACAATTTCTGATTGTCCCAAGCCCGAGAGACCAGTAGTAATGTTACCTTTTATTAAATAGGAGACTGAGGTACAGGAAAATTAAGTAATCTGCCAAAGGCACCTACAAATAAACACCAAGTCTAGACTCGCATCATTGACTGAATCCAAAGCAGTGCTTCTCAAACTCCCTCCCGCGATAAAGAACTTGTTTTTGTTTAACTTCCAGTCTGTTAAAGACAATACTTGGCCTACCTACATAAAATGACTCTGTGAAATTGCTATAAAGGTTTCTAAATGTATCAATTTCTGACTCACGGCTGAACCCTAACAAGCCTTTTATTAGCTACAATCCATACAGCACACTTTTCAAAGCCATTCACTGTCACTGTTATCATGCCTCTAACAAAGCTGATAATAGCCAAATGCTTCCCTTGCAGCATTCCACTCAGCTATCTCAATAACAGCAAAGGGATTGGTGTTTACAGATAAAAAGTGATAAAGGAGTTACACTACTTGTCTCAGGATTTTTTCTATTCCCTCTTTACTAGAGTTTTATTTTTTCCCTTTAAATCACAAATGGGTACTACTGCTAATTCATTTTTATCAGTTGAGAAAAAATTTTTATCTTTTATATAGTCTTAATGAATTACAAGTGACATAATATTAGAAAACTGCTTTCATGAAGTAGACACTTCTTGGTCTCAATACATTGTTACTGAAATATTATTGCTGATTAATTTGTAGGTGTTTTTGCAAACATGTTACTAAATAATTCCGGTATTTTTTCCATCTTTTTCTAGACATTTTGTACAAAATAAGAATGATCTTTTCCTTGAAGAATTTCCCCTCCTTTCTATCCGGGGGAAAAAATATTTTGGGCTTGTTCCCTGTTTGGGGTTTGAGAGTAGCATTTTGATTTTTTTTATAGTTTTGATCTATTGTGCCATTTATGGCCCAAACTTGACACCTGATAGTATCCATTTCATCTCAGCTTTCATAACACTTGTTCTCGCAGTTTGGTCTGAGGACTAGCAGCATAATTTGCAAACCTCTTAGAAATTCAAATTTTGGATCCCCAGTTCAAAAGCGCCGAGTCAGAAATTTAGGGACTGGGCCCCAATGGTGTCCGCTTTGATAAACTCTCCAAACTAAAGTCTGAGAACCCTGAAGTACACCAGTCCTCTCTAACTTAGTTTCTATCACTCTCATTTAAATTCATGGCAATATTTGAGCCTTTTTACCTCATAATGTCATGGGTTTCTATTTCATTGGTTTGTGAAAAAAATCTTTGACATGCTATTGTGTTTTTATTTCATTGTTTTCTGCTTGACTTTAGTCATTTTGGTTTATTGTGTATTTATAGCTTTTGAGTTGAAAATCTAGTTAATTTAGTCTTGATCTTTATTTTTCATAAATGCATTTTAATTTATATATTTTATTAGAATAAAATAAATGCTGCTAAATATAAAGATGTATGCCCTATAAAAGTATTTTGATAGCAAGTTAGAATTATAATTCCATACTGTTGGTGCAATCAGAAAAAGGTGGTAAAAATGTATTTCAAGCTTATTCAGTAAAAAAAGAAAATACAGACTAAATAGGATATATAATTTTTGAATGCACAAAAGAAACATATGGAGAATATATATTTTTTACTCTATTTTCATAGATTTGATAGTTACTTCAAATTTGAGCAATATTTAGAAAACCCCAACATATATGGAACTTTGATAATCTCATTTTTTTATTCTATTATTACCGTGTTATGATCAGGGAATTTGATATGTGATTATTTGAAATTTGTTGAGTTTTATTTTGTTGTATAGTACATGGAAGATATCTAGTGTGTGTTTGAAGCCCATATATTTAATGCCTAGCTTCAGAACTACGTAAGTATGAATGCAAACTAGTCGTGCTGTTCAATTCTTCTGCCCTTTTCAAGAAGAGATAGATTCTGAGGCTGACTGTGGATATGACAGTTCCTCTTTGCAATTCTGTTATATTTTGTTTTAGGAGTATATAAATTGGTAGCATAATAGGAATATTTTGGCAAGATGATACTCTTGTACCATCTTATTTTTTAGGATTAGCATTTGTCAAATATTAACACTGTTATACAGAAGAATATTTCCCATTTAATTTCAGCTTTCTGAGAACTGCTTTAGATGTAACTTATTTTAAAAATTACCAGTCCATTCTTTCTCTCTCATAACAAATGAGTTTGGCCCATTCACATTTATTGTGATTACAGATTGCTTACTTATTTTTGCCACCAAATTGGAATTTTTTCTATTTATCATCTTCCCCATTTTTGGGCCTCCCATGGAAAGTTTTCTCTATGTGTTTCTTTTGAGCATTGAAAAACTATATATTCTATTTAGTCTGAATTTTCTTTTCTTTCTGAATTTTCTTTTCTTCCTGAATAAACCTAAAACACATTTTTGCCACCTTTTTTCTGATTGCCCTCAACAGTCTGTAATTATAATTCTAATTTGCTTTCAAAATACTTTTATAGGTCATACATACTTAGATTTAGGAGTAATTTTCACAGTTGCAGCTGAATAATTCTGCCATCATTTATCTGGTATAGTAAATCCTTTAGTGATATTTTAGTAAGGTAAATCTTAGATGGATTGAGAGTACCTTTGTCACCACACATGAACAATAGTTGAGGGAAGTTTAAAATTCTAAGTTCAATTTTGCCATTTATTTATTTATTATTATTATTTTTTGATACTGGGAATTGAACTCAGGACCTTGCACTTGCCAGGCAGGCATGGTGCCGCTGAGCTAAATCCCTGGCCCTCAATTTTCTCTTTTTAAATTAATGTTGCCAATAGAAAGTCTGATGTGAATCTGATTCTTGTTCAACAGTAGGTAATCTTTATTCATGATAGATTTTCCTGACAAAGTATGTGAATATGATTCATTTTTGTGTGCTTTTTAGTTTGACCTGAGTAATAATATCCTGTATATCAGCTTCCTAAAAATAGGGGCTCTTGCTTATCACTGTAGCTTTGCATTCCTTAATTTTTTACCTATGTGTTTAGAAGGACAGTGTTTTCAAACTCACCTTTTATTTTATGGGATGATATAGGAAGGAAAAGTGTGGCACTGGAGGAAGAGGTTTCTATAATTTTGAACCAAGATTAATACCCAGATTCACCTGACACTACAATCTACTCTCAAACCCTCTACTCACCTGGCTATTCCAAGATGACCAACTTGCCAGGGATCACATGAGATTGTGCAGGGGATAGTGGCTCTGGAGACCCTGAACACAATAGACAGCCCTCAGGAAAGGCTGCTGGTTCCTCCAAGAGGCTCCGTGATCCTGCCCTCTTACCTAGGCACTCAAGTCACAGCACATTGGCCCTCATCCCTCATTTTCAGGATGTGGAAGGGAATGAAAAGGGAGATGCTTTCAACAGCCCCCAGAACCAAAAAAACAAAGAAATTTAACAGATTCTTAATAAAGTACTACCATGAAAGAGAACTAGTGAGCAGGGAAAATGCTGATCTTACCCCTTGAGCTGTGGTTTAAAAACAACAAGATTTAATAGAGCAAAAATAAATAAAAATTGGGCTGAGCCTCCAGGTTGGTAAGAAGCAGGTGCTGCACTAAATCTCTAATTTAATAAAATTACTGCTTTTTCTAAGTAGGTAGTAATTATAACTGATTATAATTTGTTGTTGCCTATTTTGTTATTTATTTGAATCTGAATATCCCTGAATACACAGTTATTATATTAGGAGATTTCCCCATGCATATAATAATGTGTAAGCAAATAAATGGCATTTTTATGAGTCAGCCAGAGTAATCTCCATGTGTAGGAAATGTGAAAAGACAAGGTGGGATTCTGGTAGGAAAAAGGCATTTCATTTGTGTACTGGAGTAAGTGGAAAATGAGACACCTCAGATGACAGACTTTACAAATGTCTAATTAATTACTAACTGATGAGGCAATTACAGATATCCATATACCATGGAAACATTTTTAAAGCAATATATGAATTAAATAACTACATGTAGATCTTAGGTATGCCACACACCCAAAACGGCATTCCACACGGAGGAATGAGATCAGTCACTGTAAGTCTCTGCACTGGAAAAACATACGGAGAGTGGATCTAGCCACTTTATCTTCTGACTAAAAAGATATCTTTTTACATAGGAGAAGAACTTAGACCTTGGGAGTTGAAAATCATGATAATCTCTGAGTCTCTTCGGAATTGAATAGGGTATTGTTAGAAGTCAAAAGTATGAGGCAAGTCAGGGAAATAAGTAATTTCAAAGGTAGAAGGAAAGAGTAGGTACTTTGAGGTGACCCATAGATTCAGAAGAGAAATTGTCAGAATTCATAGATTCCCTGCATTTGAGAATCTGCAAGAAAAGTTGTCCATTTCCTTCAAATAAATAGATAAACTTCTGAAATGGCAGGCTGCTTTAGGGAATGCACCTGCCTCGGAATGCTTAACAAGAATAATTCTGAGTTATTGTGTTGCAGCTGTCAGCTCTTTTCAAAAAAGCAAGGAAAGCAGACTCTTTTTCAGAAAATGAGGTTTGTCAGTGATGGCCTGGTCTAAAAGCCACCATTCCCCTGAGTGCTAGAGCAAGGAGGGCCAGAAGGGAATACTCAGGCTGGCGCTTGTCATCTTTGCTTTGACCCAAATTTGCGTGTCAGGGAAACACACCTTACTTGCTTCTGTCCTAATGGAGAAGGAGAGATGAACAGTGTCTCAACAGCCAGAACACTTTCCTCTAGGGATTAGGTGAAAACTGAGAGATAGGAAAGTGCAGACAAGCCTTTCAACCCTATCTGATAAATTCTGAAGGAGGGGAGGGTACTACTTGTCTTCCTCCTGGAATAGGCATCTTGCTCTCAGGAATAAGGAAATTCAGCTATAGTCTTCAACCTTTAGAAATGGAAAGACTATGTGTTTGTTAAAATTCTATTGAATGATCCTCAGTACAAACAAACAAAAAAAAACCAACAAAAACAAACAAAAAACCCCAAAAAACTCTATTGAATGGCTTTACTTGAAAAAGGAGAAAGCCAGGGTTTATTGTAGTCTATGATCAGGAGAAAGTTAACAATAGAAATGGGCCTGGAATCAAGCCCTTCCTGAGTTTGGGTCTAATCTCTGGCCTCTCCTCTTGCTGGTGAGACATGTGGTAGCTGTTATCCAGATACCCAATCCTCTGCTTATGTCTAGCTATCTGTGGCATATTACCAACTGTCTGCAAGCATTCAGCCTGGACTGAAAGGAGGCATTTTTTTCACAAGATGCCTGCCCTAAGTGAGTAATCATCGAAGTGGTGAACATTACAAGAGACATGGATGGTTTAATTAGTTGTTTAAATGGATGGCAAACAATTATACTTACCCAACAGGCTTTTCCCCTTGCTCAGCTTTTGAATTCTGTTCATTTCATTCTGGCAAGGGAGACCTAAAAAATAATTTATAGAAGTCAGTTTCCAGATGGTATGGGATATAATCTCTAATGATTGACTTCCTGTTTGATGTGAAATGAAGTCAATGAAACATCTGGGAGTGGAACTGCTCCATATGCTGTTACATGCAACAAAGCAAATTCAGGCCAGTACTGTTATTAATTAAAAAATAACCTCATACCACATGATACTTAAAATAGTATTTTGGGTTTTCTTGCATTGTTTAGGAATTTTCTTTCCTCTCATCGGCTTAAGCAGACACCAGGTCCTATTAGGTGACTTGCAACAGACTTTCTCCTTTTCATCAGGGAGAAGTATTCAGCTAACATTTCTGTGAGCTGGAAACTGGGGCCGAGGGTTAAGTGTTCTGAATCCACAGACCAACTAGCCAGAGGTGACAACTACTCGATTTATTCTAAGTCTTGTGGCAGGAGAGAAAGAGGATTAGAACTACCCTAAGAATGTAAAACACAGGAAGACACAGAAGAACTCTGGAGACATAGACACAGTGTGGGTAACAATTAAGAGAATAGTTTTTAATCTACCTTTTATCACCACCTCACTGAACACTGTGGAAGTCTCTTTTCCCCTCTCAGCCAGAGTCCTCAGTTATAAGATGTATATTTTATGAACCAGCAAAGGACAGCAGCAGAGACCCACACGGCTAAAAAATGGCATGTGTGGAAGAACATGGTACTTTTGCCTCCTTAGAAAAGAACTTACATCCATTCTAAGTACAATGACACGTGACTTCACTAATTCTTTGTAGGTCTGGTGTCCTGGGAGGTTCTGCTACTTGCTCATGGTCATCCTGGCATTGGCAATGTGTCCTTTTTTCTCAGTTCTGACAACTGGCTCATACTGCCTCTTTCTATAGGCTATATATATATATATATATAGTACCTATTACCCTGTGGATTTCACTATGCCACCTAGTCTTGCTGCTTGTTCTGCAAGAGAAACTAGTTATAAAATACATTTGTTGACTTCTGACTTTTAGATGCTTTCAGAGTAAAGGAGAAAGATCCAAACTGAAAGCAATAGAAAAGGAGAAACTAATTCCATATGTGATTATAAAAAGGAGCGTTTACTATGACAACTAACATTTACTGAATTGCTAGAAGGTGCCAGGCATTGTTCTAGAACTTCACGTGTCTTAATTTAGTCTTCACAAACACCATGTATGATAGGTACCAATATTATCCCTGTTTTGTAGTGGAAATTTTCATCTTTGTAACTATGCAGAAAGAAGAGAAACTGTAGGTGTTTACTTCTACAAAAGGAAGAAAAGCAAAATCCTATAAGCATTGGCTCAGACAGTTCATCGTGAAGCAAGTTTCTAATTTTAAGAAACTTCCTTCAAATTGTTGTACAGAAATTTTTAAACTCTATTTAAAGATAAGGAAAAATTAATCCAACTAAATTTACTCAAAAAAAGTAGAACAAGAAAAAACTCCAGGTGGAATTCTGTAACAGTGTTGGTTGCTGAGCAGATAATGATTTCCACAGACCCCTCTCAGAAGTCTAGGAATCTGATGAAAAATACACTGTGTTAAGACTAGAGTGCAATACACGGTGTATGGAGTCAAGGAGAACATGAGGCCAAAAGCAGAAAACTGGGCCGTTAAAGAAGTAAGGCCATATCCAAAACAACAAAACTTATATGAAACCCCTATGCTGTTGATGTTCTTGAGAAAAGACTAATCAGACGGAACTTAACAAAGGCCTTAATTCTAAAGTTCCAAAAAGCCTAACTTACCTCAGAAAAAAGAGAGAGTGACACAGCCCTAAACATGATTAAGACGTGCTAGGAATTAATGTCCTTGAAAAGCACACAAAGAATTCTCTGGGCTTCCAAGCAAAGTGGTTACATTATAATAAAAGAAAGAGAATAGTCTTATAAAAACAAAAGCAAACAAATATGACTCCAGGAAGTTTATACTTAGTATCTCAAGGATAAACGAAACAGAAATATTTCAAACATTCAAAGACTAATTGAAGGAAGGCAATTCCATAAGAATCGTAGAAAAAAAGACTACTTGTGAAATTCAAATTTAGGGGGAAAAAAAGTGAAACTACTCAACAAGTAATCTTCCCAATGTTAAAAAAGTAAGAGTGCCCTCTAACTTCATCACTATGTTTTTCATGCTCTCCAAGTTTTATATAAAATGAATTAAATTATTAAGGAAGTAAAATAGAACTCCTACAGCTGGTTATGGAGCAGGAAGGGAGGTGGTGAAGATCTAATTAAAAAAAAAAAAAAGGAAATGAGAGAAATCCATAGTTAAACAATGAGAAGTGAAGAACTTCAACAAATTACTTTGCAAAACTAATCCAGGTTCCATGCACAACCATGGGCCAGTGAGGAATCTTGGCTTCCCCGAGCAGTGGCAGAAAGGGCAGCCTATCCCGAGGGTCGCCCATGGCAAGGTGACCAGCTCCGTGGCTTGATTAAGGCTGTGTCACCTCACCCTGGCACTGAACTAGAGATATATCATTAAAAATCAGTCTCTGTTCTGCCGCTTGCCTTGCAAGTGCAGGGTCCCGAGTCCAATCCCCAGTACCAATAAATAAATAAATAAATAAAAAATCAGTCTCTGTGCTTTTAAGAAACCCAGTAAAAATCACATAATTTTAGATGAATTCAAGCGTAAAGCTATCATTAAGCTTAATGCTGCATCACTACAAGTATTTATTTTTAAAAACCCCAAAACATAGGTATTTTTAAACATCAATTTATAGTTACTAGATGATGTAATTAGAAAACAGAAAGAAATGAGACATAAAATTTTAAAAGAAAAAGAAAAAAATGATCTCTATTTGCAGATGATATGATTGTGCACCTGAAAACCCAAGCAAAGCAACCAGGATAACTTATAAACAAAATGAGGATTTAAGGCAGTGGAACAACCATTAGAGAGGAAATACAGTGGAAAAAACAGTGCATTTCCAGTGGTAGCAATAACAAACACAAGGGAAATGCAATATTGGTGAGAACAAAAGTTAAAAATGTAACACTACTGGTTGACAGACAAATACTGTTCTAAGATAAAAGGATTCAGTGCTATATAGCTAGCAGGAACTTATTTTTAATTTTAAAAAAATTCTAAAATTCAGAGGAAGAAAAATACATGAATATCCAGAAAAATTCAGAAAAAAATACAAAGAATTAATGGCAAGAAAGAATGGGCCTAGCAGATACTGACATACATATAGCAACTGTGATTTAAATAGTATAGAAATGATCTATAAGATGAACAGGACAGAGTATTTGGGAATATGTGTAAGATGTATGGGTGTACCCATAGGCGTGCATTTGCCGTTACAGCTGGTATTTCAAATTGACAGGAGGGAAGATAAGTTTATCAATAAATGACAGAAGGGCAACTGGATAATCATTTCCAGGGCCGACGGAAGAGGCTGTATACACAAAAAAACCTAGAGTGATATAAAATTTAAATAATAAAAAACAAAGATATTGAAGAAAATTACTACCTAAAGCGGGGAATACCTTTCTAAGTTTAATATAATCTTTATAGCTTCAAATAAGCCAGAGAATTAAAAAAATGAAGACATTACTTTTCTTAAAATTTAAAATATCTCCCTAGTAAAAAATGTACAAAGTTTACGGGCCAGGGATTTAGCTCAGTGTTTCTGCCCCCTGCCTCTCAAGCGGAAGGGGCCAAGTTTGATCCCTGGTACCAAAAAAAATGTACAATGTTTAAAGCAGAAAAAATATTTGTGATACCTATGACTGGGGAAGTTCTGATTTCCTTAATACAGAATTTTGGGGCTGGGGATTTAGCTTGGTGGTACCGTGCCTGCCTCACAACCGCAAGGTCCTGAGTTTAATCCCCGGTATCAAAAACAAAAAAGAATTTCTTACTACAAAAACACAAAAGTCTAATAAGAAAAAAAGTACAAAGAACATGGACATTTCAAAGAAATCTGAGTGTTAAAGATGAGTAAAAATGTTCAACCTACATAAGAGAAATGGAATAAAGCCTATGAGGCAATGATCATGAAGTTTCATAATGCCATGGAAAAATAGGTATTCTCAGATAATTTTGGTGAGAGTGAAAATTAGTACAACTTCTTTGGAGGGCAAATTGTGGATAATGCTCAGATTAAAAGATACACATGCTTCCTGACTGGCAATTCTGTTTCTAGGACTATCTTGTAATGCTATAAATGTATACTTGTACTTACTGCTCACTTCATGCCCTTTTTTAGTGCTGACATTTTTGTTGTATGTTTGTTTTATCTATGCATTCATGCAAAATTTAAATGCTATTAGTAGCCATCCTTTTTTTTCTTTTTGTACCAGGGATCAAACTCGGGACCTTGTGTTTGTGAGGCAGGTGCTGGAACCTGAGGTAAATCCCCAGCCCCATCTTCCTTTCTTATGGGTGAGGGTGCCAGCCAGGCCTTGACCTGGATACTTGACCCATGCTGGACCAGATTACTTTGGTGTTGGATTTCAAATGCAAGCCATTTTCTGCTGGTGCCTTTGTGGACTGTCACTCTTGGGCACAACTCCCAGCAAGCTGAGACAGATGGCTATAAATCCAAACCCATGGTGCCCTTGCCACTGGACTCCTGAGAATCCTTCCGTTCCCAGTCTGAATATCTCCATAGGATGACTCTCCTGTCTGACATTGGTTTATAGGAGGTACTCTGCTATCATTTCATATATTCCTCCAAATCTTAACTCTTTCATTAACTGGAATTTATATAAAAATATTTTACAACATTAAATATAAATCTATAGACATGTGGCTTTCTCTAAGGGGAACATGGAAAGTTTGTGTGACAATGGGAATTACGATACTCTTACATTTGTACAGTATTTTTCACAGTGAGAATCTCAAAATGACCTTGGGAATTATACAGGGAAGGTTTATGTATGCCCACTTTATAGATGAAAATACTGAGGTACTATATGGTTGCGAGATTTTTCCAAAAGAAGGAACAACTGGAGAGACTTCTTGATTATATACTTAGTTTTTCCAATATACTGTGTCAAAAGCAAAGGTATATTAGGAGAAAGGAACCTGTAGGCCTACCATTAAATGGGCTAAATTCTTTATTCTCTAGCTGTGTTTTTTGTGCACTGATCACTTTTGCCACCTTGCTATGTGCTAAGTAGGCCTCCCAGGCCTAGCACAGTTATCCTGGGCACTGGATCCCATCTCCTTCTGGCCTTACCTCCAGGCTTCTGAAAGCAGTAGCACCACTCATTGTTAGAGAGCTTGCCATCCTTGAAGGAGTCACAAGAGTTGAAGAGAGGCTTGATGCAGGGCTCATATTTATCCAGGTAAATGGCATTGATCTCTGAGTGGTCCAGCAGGAGGTCATAGTTCATGTCCAACTTGTTGAACATCCAGCCCAGGGAGTCCTTGCAGATGGGCAGGATGCTGGTGTCAAACCCTGCAGGGGAAATGCATGTCTCAACCACCACCATCCTAGACTTTCCCACCCTGCCACTCACTGGCTTCCTGACTTAAAAAGACCCCTCCCCTCCCCCTGTTGCCTTGCCTGGATCACTGGCATGCTAGAATATTTTGTTGTTTATTAAATTAAACATATTAAAATGCACAAAACAGAAGGGAATACTTGAGGAAAATATGTTCTGAAGGGAACAAATCCCCAGTGCTCACATTTCTGGGATGTGAATAAGGTCTCATTGACTAGACTTGCTTAAAATAGGTATGGTTAAAAGGAAAAAATACAGCATGGTGAATAAGAGATGTAAGTTATCCTGAGAACTATGCTTTTATACTTAGGGGGAAAATAAAAACAAAAACAAAAGGATGCATAAAAAATACCAGTGAAATAAAACTATGTAGCATAATCCAGAAGCACTGATTATATCCCAGAGGACTGTTACATCCAAACAGTCTGAACATTAATGGCAAAACAAGCCAGGTACTACTTCGGTCCCCATCCTTCTTTTCTGTAATCCCCTAAGGAGATACATGAGATGGACTCCAAATGAACCAAGACAATAATTTCTTCCTTATTTCCCCATGGGAGGGGAAATAGTTTTTTTTAAAGAGTTATTTCATTTCAAAATAGAAACTATGTATTTCAGTAATAACACTTTTTGTACACCAGAGATACTGAGATCACTGTACAAACCCAGAGAAGGCACACCCCAAGTCTAAAGCTCACCTTTTTTCAGAGCCAACAGCATGGTACAATCTTGGGTTACTCTGTGGACTAGATTTCTAGTACTGATTGCCCTGGCACACTGATGCTAAAAGTTAGCTTCTAGGTTGGTACAAATAAAGCACCCTTCTAAGCTATTTATTTTTAATTATCTCATTAAATCCTTGCAGTGGTCCTACTAAATGGTACCATATCACGTCCACTTTATAGGTCTGAAAATTAGGCTCAGAGCTTGAGTGTTACTTGTTCAAGGTCACCCAACTATAGACCTGGGATTCAAACCCAGAGAGCCCAGTTCTGAGTCTGTACTCTGAGTGCCTCTCCTCACAAGGGTCCTTCTACCTCGGTGGATCTCCCCATGCTGAGGACATGCAGCCAGCTGAGGGTGTCTGTTGGGGGAAGGCTAGTGAAAGAAGGCAATACAGGGACTGCCCTGAGCGATTTTGATGGGGTTGATGGCCCACTTGTGTAGTTTCTATGCATAGCCTGGCCATCAGGTTTCTGTGTTTGCTGCCAGGACCTCTGTCTAGTCAGCAATATATAAGATACAGCAAGGTGTGCCCACCTGCCTGAAGCAGTACCTTTATCTAGAAAGGATTTCACTGTTCAGAAGCAACACAGTGAGCTCAGCACCTTCTCCACTGAGCTCTCAGTAGAACTCTGTGCTTTCGCTATTGCCGATGCTGTTAATAACAGACTGTAAGCACCCTGCAGACTGACTTCCTCCTTGTGCCCTTCAGTAGCCTCAGCCAAGACAGCCACGTAGTATCAATAAACATATTTGTTGTGAGAAGTTTGTTAGTTACTTTTAAATTAACCCTTTCAAACATAAAATATTTGCATTTTTAAATTTATTCATTTTTATAGTTTAGAACACATTTTTTTAAAAAATCCCCCATATTCCAAAAGGGGCTCTGGAATATAATGTGGCCCTTTTCTTTGAATGTCATGACTGTCCACAATCTCTGTGCCAAGGATGTCCTTCAGAGCTACTGAAGGACAGTTTATTCTGACAGTACATTGCTGTATAATCGTGTGTAAAATATATAATTTGAATCAATTTTATGATACTAACATTTTTATACATAAGAAAGAGGAGTTTACTGCTACCAGATAACCAGAAAGAAGTGCCAAGCTAGTTAGACAGCAGTCAAAAGGTCGAGAGCACTCTGCCCCCATCCGAAAGGTTCTAGAACAGGGTGTCTGTGACTGGAGGGGCAGAGGGTTTAGGTGGCCTTAAGTGTGCAAGGCTGAGCGTGGTTTCAGCTTTTTCTTTCAGAACTCCAGGCTGACAAAATTGTCATTTACTCCTTTGGCCTTGTGGGCTTACTGAGCATCATTCCTAATATTTCCTTCCCTCCAGTTGCTTTAGGACATCAAACCAAAAGCCTCTTTAGGGACTCAATTTGCTCCTGGCCAAAGAAGTCATTTGCAGGCTCCCCAGATGTCTGCAAGAGGACCCTCGGGGGACCTCAGACTGCAAGGAGCTGCACTCCTCCCATCAATCTGCTCTCAGTTGAAAGGCTGTTCAGAAAACTCAAGGGCCAGTCTGCTCCTTGAGGACCCAGGGAAAAAGTTTCTCTTCCCGCTGTGAACTAATTGTCCAGAAACTCCCAAGGAGTCTCTAGCAAGAATGGAAAACAAAGAAACTGTCTTGCTTTACCTTTCCTACAGACACTATTGCCAAGAACACTTTAAGGAAGCAATCACTACTTGTTTCCATACCTCCCTCCACTTCAGTATTTGCTTTCATTTTTCTAAATTTATTTTAATTTTTATTACTACATGTTTGCAGTACATAATAACTACATTCATCATGCAGACTTGGTATTGGTACATAACACGTCTTAATTCTTTTTACTTCCCCCTCCCCAGCACTTTCTACCCCCTCTTTAAAAAATTGTCCCCTATATCAGTATTCTCCACTGGTATTTCTCAATGGGTAGGAGCAGCAAATAGCAACCAAAGAGTAGAGACTTTCATTTTCAATTGTTTTTGTCTCATTGTGTTGTCCAGAGTGGCCTCAAACTCCTGAGCTCAAGCTGTCCTCCTGCCTCAACTTCCTGAGTAGCTGGGATTATAGGAACATACCACTGTACCTGGTTGGAGATCATGTTTATGCTGGTCGTACTGAATTCAACATTGACGATGTAATTTCTGACAACTCCTTACAAAAATTCCATCCAAACAATTGTGGGATCAGGGATAGGGCAAAATACTTTGCTTTAAACAATGTGTTTTTGTATTTTGACCAAATAACATACTATGTGAATAGATTGTTGCAAAACTACATGTATTTAAGTGATTGTGTGGATCAGTAATTTGATCTCTGCCTATTAGCTACAAGGTAGAAAAGCCCATCACTAAGCGTCTTTGAGTTGAATGCCTGGAGAGACCCCATCAAAGTGGAAGTGCAAGACCCACTCTGAGCCTTCTCTCAGCTGCTGATGGGAGAGAACTCTGCCCACTCCATAGCTGAGCTCAGTGGTACCTCTCAGAGGTGGCTGCATGTTAATGGTGGGGAAGGGGAACAAGTGGCCAGGACTTACTTGCTAGGGAAAAACAAAACGCAAGCAGGATAGTGTGCACAATGATATACTATCAAAGATGTTTGCTGCAGTGTCTTTTATAGCACTATACATTCGCAACAACATAAATGATCCCTAAATATAGGTCTAGTCACATAGTTATATCCATATATTAGGATTCTGTGTAGATATTGTAAAGCAGAGTACTACTCAACAACAGGAGAGTGCAGTCACAGTTATAAATGAGATTATAAAACAGTCTGTAAAATGTGACCCCAATTTTATAATCATAGACAAACACAAATATATTTTCATCTATGATGAAGAAAATATCTCAAAATATATACCATGGCATCCTTACAGTTGTTAAAATGATGGAATTTTGTAGTTTTCTATAAATTTATTTTCTAAAATGTAAATATTAAACATATTTTTGTAATCAGTTATAAAAATATGTTGTAATTTTCCTTGATTCTAAAGCATCATCCCCTCTGCCATATGTTAATATTTTTTAAATTGGAACATATTTTAATGTAGTGTTTCTTTTTTAACCTCCAAATGCTATTGCTAAATCAATAATGTCTGCTAATTGAGGAAATGTGATATTTATAGTGAAATAAATTAGCAAACATGGAGTAGTCTTACTGCCTTGGGCTGTGTCAGAGCTGGTGGGTTTGATGACCCTGTTTGCATCCTCATGAAGAGCTCCAAACCAGTCTTTCAGCCGGGAAGCAAGGTTCCTCAACTCCTTGTCCGTGCATGCTGGAGAAAAGCAAACAGAATACAGATGAATCCCTGGGCTCTGTACCCTGAATGTATGGCAAAGTCACTCAAAGCAAATCCCCCTGGCCAACCACAATAAAACTTATCAGAGGGCGATCAATCCTCCAACTGCCTAGAAAGGGGGTGGGGAAGGATAAAGAAAAAAAGACAACAGAGACTTGCATAATTTCAAAGTATATGGGGGGGCCAAGAGGTCAGTGTCTGAGTGCGCAAAGACAAACCTACTCCGAGGTAGCCATTATTTGTTTGGTACACACAATAATTGGAGGGAGCATCAGGTGACTTAGGGGGAAGTGGTAATCCTATGTTGATGAATGAAAGACCCTAGTTAGCAAGACAGACTCCATGTTGCTGCTTGACCCACCTGCCTGCCCTTTAGATGAACTCAGAAGGAGGAAGCTTAAAATCCTCCTCCCCTTAGAAAGTCTCTTTAGAAACAACAATTAATCAACTATTGTTTTACAAATGTTCTAACAGCAGGACATTCCGCTTCTGTACCTTTTGCTTGCTTTGCTAGTTCTATCCCATAGGGGGGCCTAGAAACTGTTGGCCTTACAGGTGTATAAAACATGTTTGTCTCCCCCCAGTCGGGGCTCAACTCCGATGCTCGGCTCCAGTTCCAGCTGGTAATAAACTCCTATGTGGATTTAATATCGGTCTCTGGTTGGTTCTCTCTTGCTGGGTGTAACATTCTTGGAGGCCCCAGTGAGATAGCCAGCTGCTCTGGAGCTTATTATCTTGGAGCCACTGTTTCTTATTAGGAGAGACCTGGATCAGACATCGGCGGCATTTGGCCCCTCTGGACACTGGTCTGTGGAAGGAGAGGCCACCCTGATGGTATTCCGGGGCTCCAGGTAGGCCAGTCCCAGTTGGGCCCTATCGCTGATCAACCGACCTGCAGAAGTTTATTGGGAAAGCCTCTAGAGGTAAGAATCAAATGATTCTTAGTGCACTGTGGGTGGGCAGGAGGAAGCTGGACACGGCACAGGCTCCCCTACTTAGAGTCTCTTCGAGACGGCAAGCAGACTCACTGGTTTGGCGTCCTCAGAAGACTGACTCCCTGGGTGGGGTCTGAATCCGTTCAGCCCCAGAGGTTTTACTTGGCCAAAGTTTGTCTTTGTCTCTTTATTGTTGTCTGTCTGCTTGCTCTGTGTGCCTTTTGCGTTTTCACAGGCTAAAATTATGGGTTCCTCACAGTCCACAGAAGGAACTCCACTTGATTGTGTTTTGAATAACTTCAAAAAAATTTATTCCACAGACAGGGAAGATGAATATGGCATGAAGTTTTCTAAAGGGAAATTACAAACCCTGTGTCAATTAAAATGGCCCAGTTTTGGAGTCAGTTGGCCCCCGGTGGGAACTTATTCTATGCACATTGCTCACAAGGTTTGGAATGTGGTCACAGGAGTCAGGACCCCACAGGTCCCGATCGACCTTTGGCACTCGATCCAGACAGGACTATGGTCCATCAGCCCATCAGTCCGTCTTCCTCCTCCCTTTTTCCTTTAAAACAGATAGAGCCCAGGGGAGAATTGATTTATGTCCCTTTTACAACTAGTGATCTTTACAATTGGAAACATCAGAATCCCCCCTTCTCTGAAAAACCTCAGGCATTAATTTCTTCTTAAGTCTGTTTTTCATACCCACCAGCCAACCTGGGATGATGGCCAGCAGCTTTTATGATCCTGTTCACCACTGAGGAGTGGGACTGCATTTATCAACAGGCAGTCAAAGAGGCCCTGGGGCCAAACCCCGGCATCACTCCCGGAACTCCAGGGCATTCGGCCAGGGCTGAAACAGTAGTTCTGTCACGACACCCCAAATGGGACCCCAATGATGATAATGGTGAGAGGAGGCTGGGGACCTACTGCCAGCACTTATTAGGGGGACTCCAGGCAGCTGCCAAAAAGCCCACTAATTTGAGTAAGGTAAGTGAGGTTCGCCAGGAAAAAGCAGAGTCTCTGGCTGCGTTTTTAGAGAGACTCTTGGAAGCCTATAGAGTTTTCACTCCTATTGACCCAGAGGCTCCTCAAAATGCAGCAGCTTTAAATTTGGCCTTTGTTGCTCAGCTGGCCCCAGACATTGGAAAAAAAAATTACAGAAATTGGAGGGATTTGAGGGAAAGAATAGGACTGAACTACTGAACATAGCCCAGAAAGTTTATGATAACTGTGATGCCCCCGAGAAAGTCCTAGCCAAGAAACTGGGGAAAGTCACTATTGCTGCACTCCAGGCACAAGAGACAGTCCCTCCAGACAGAAAAGGAAAAAGCGCCTTTTTGGCTTTAAAGAAAGCCTTAGTGTCAGCACCATCCCTGGCCCTACCTGATATCACCAAGCCCTTTTGGTTGTTTGTGGCTGAATGAGGGGGCATAGCCAAAGGAGTGCTAGCTTAGGCATTAGGGCCTTGGAACAGACCTGTGGCCTACCTGTCTAAAAGACTTGATCCTGTGGCAAGTGGATGGCCTACCTGTTTGAGGGCAGTTGCAGCCACTGCCCTCCTGGTCAAGGAGGCAGATAAGCTCAGCCTGGGACAGGACCTGGTCACCACCACACCCCATGCGGTGGAGACACTGCTGAGAGGAGACCCAGAATGATGGCTCTCCAATGCCTGCCTGACTTAGTACCAGGCCCTGTTGCTGGATGCTCCATGCATCAAATTTGCCTGAGAAACAACCCTCAATCTGGCCACCTTACTCCCAGACTCCAACTCGTACGCATACCCCTCCATGACTGTTGGACACTCTGACAACTTCCACCACCAACTGCCCAGACCTGACTTATGTTCCCCTGCAAAGCCCAGATGAGACCTTCTTCACTGATGGAAACAGCTTCATGGAAGACAGAGTCAGGTATGCAGGGGTGGCCATAGTCAGTCCAGGAGGACAGGTGCACTGGGAACAGGCATTAAGCCAGGGGGCTTCAACGCAGAGGGCTGAACTAATAGCCTTTAACTTAAGCCCTGTTAGGTCAAGACAAGGCTGTAAACAACTACACTGACAGCTGGTATGCATTTGCCACTGCCCATGTGCATGGCGACATCTACAGACAGAGAGGGCTATTGACATCAGAAGGGAAAACTATCAAAAAAAATTTTTGGCCTTATTGGAAACAATTTGGGAACCCAGGGTGTTGGCCATTGTCATTGCAAAAGCCACCAAAATGGAGACAGCTTCGAGGCCCATGGTAACTGAGAGGCCGATGATGCGGCCCGACGAGTGGCCAGAGAACCAGTGGGGCCAATAGACATTCTGCCCATCTGGCCCTTTGGCTACCTGCCAGAAAGACCCACATATACCCCAGAAGAGGAAGGGGAAAACCAAAAGCAAGGGGATACAAAACTGGACTCAGGATGGTGGAAAGGGACAAACAAATTTGTCTCCCCAGAGCCCTGGGGTGACAACTTGTTCATCAGTTACATCACTTAACTCACCTGGGAGAATCAAAGTTAAAAAGACTAATGAGCTCTAAGTTTTCAATCCCAGGACTGACCTCTATGGTCCAGAACATCAGTTCCAGCTGTCAGGTGTGTGCACAGGTAAACTCCAAGATGAGACCAAGGAACAAAGGTAATCGACTATGGGGAAGAGAGCCAGGGGAACATGGGGAACTTGATTTCACCAAAATAAAATCCAGCAATAGGTTCAAATATTTACTGGTATTGGTTGACACCTACTCAGGTTGGGTAGAAGCTTTCCAAGCTCGTGAAGAATCAGCCAACATAGTAACTAAGGTTTTGCTCCAGGAGATAGTTCCC